CTTCATTGTCTATGGTGCCTTTCAGCAGAATGTATTTCCCTCCATCCTATTCCCCAACTCTTTTTATTATATTCTCTCTCTCCTTTCACCCTGTCCATTCTCAAAAGTGTTTTGCTTCTGATCCCCCTCCCTCAATCTGCCCTCCCTTCTATCACACACCATTTCCCTCTCCTACTTTCTCCTGCAGGATAAGTAAGACAGATTTCTGCACCGAATTGAGTCTGTATGTTATTCCATTTTTGAGTCAATTCTGATGAGAGTAAGATTCACTCACTCCCCCTCAACTCAACCTCTTCCTATACTCTGCAAAAGCTTTTCCTTGTGTCTTTTATGTAAGATAATTTACCCCATTCTACCACTTTCTGTTTCTCCCATTACACTCCTCTGTCACCCATTAATTTTATTTTTTAGATATCATCTCTTCATATTCAACTCATACTTGTTCCCTCTGTCTATATATGCTCCTGCTAACCATCCTCATAATGAGAAAGGTCTTATGAGTTACAAATATCATCTTCCCCTGTAGGTATGTAAATGGTTTAACCTTATTAAGTCCCTTATGATTTCCCTTTCCTGTCTACCTTTTTATCTTCTCTTTATTTGAAAATCAAATTTTCTGTTCACCTCTGGCCCTTTCGTCAAGAATTTCTGGAAGTTCCTCTATCTCTATCTCATTGAATGTCCATTCCCCCCCCCCCAAAGGATTATATTCAGTTTTGTTAGGTAAAGTAATTTTTTGTTCTAATCCTAGTTCCTTTGCCCTCCAGAATACCATATTCCAAGCCTTCTGATCCTTTGATATAGAAGCTGCTGAATCTTCTGTTATCTTGACTGTGGTTCCACTATACTTGAATTGTTTCTTTCTGGCTGCTTGCAATATTTTCTCCTTGACTTTGAGACTCTGGAATTTGGCTACAATATTCCTGGCAGTTTTGATTTTGGGATCTCTTTTAGGCAGTGATCAGTGGATTCTTCCAATTAATATTTTACCCTCTGGTTCTAGAATATAAGGGCAGTTTTCCTTGATAATTTGTTGAAAAATGATGTCTAGGCTCTTTTATTGATTGTAGATTTCAGGTAGCACAATTCTTTTAAATTATCTCTCCTGGATCTATTTTCCAGGTCAGTTGTGTTTCCAATACCATATTTCACATTGTCTTCTATTTTTTTTTTCATTCTTTTGGTCTTGTTTTTATCATTTCTTGATTTCTTATAAAGTCATTAGCTTCCATTTGCTCCATTTTAATTTTCAAGGAATTATTTTCTTCAGTGAGGTTTTGGCTTCCTTTTCCATTTCTCCAATTCTATTTTTAAGGCATTCTTCTCCTCATCAGCTTTTAGGCCTCTTTTACCCTTTGGCCTAGTCTGTTTTTCAAGGTTTTCTTTTCTTCAGTATTTTTTGTCTTATTTACCAATCTGTTGACTTGTTTTTCATGATTCTCTTGCATCACTGTCATTTCTCTTCCCAATTTTTCCTCTACCTCTCTTACTTGATTTTCAGAATCCCTTTTGAGCTCTTCCATGGTCTGAGACCAATTAATATTTTTCTTGGAGGCTATGGATGTAGGAGCTTTGACTTTTTTGTCTTCTTCTGAATGTGTGTTTTGGTGTTCCTTGTCACCATTGTAATGTTCAATAGTCAGTTTTCCCCCATTGTTTACTCATTTCCCCAGCTTATTAGGTGACTTTCAACTGTTTGTTAAATTAGGGCTCTGCTTCCAGGGTGGAGGGCAAATGGTCCCAAGTTTCAGGGGGTTTGACAGCTCTTTTCAGAAATAATTCTAGGGACCTATAACTTTTCAGTTCTTCCAAGGTGACATGATCTAAGGAGAGGTGTTTACTCATCTCTTGGCCTATCCTGTGACCTGAGAGAGACCACAAGCACTCTTTTCTGCCCTTGAACTGTGAGGAGGGTTCCCCTTCACTGTGGCTGTAAGCTCTGCTACACTAGCGTTCCTCCTTACCCCAGGACTGCTGCACAGGACCTGGATCCAAGCATGAGTGCTGCTCCTAGAGCTCTCAATATGCAGACAATAAGGGGGTCAAACAACTGGTCAGAAGGAGATTACAGGGGCCTTTTTGCTGTCACTAAGGCAGGATTCTGTTGCTTTGCCCATACTTGAATCCAGGTCCAGGGCAGCAGTCTAATCTGTATTATCAACATTTTCTTTATAATTTTCTTAAATCTAGAAATTAACAAAATGATAAAGCAATCTATTTTTTGTAACATTTGTTGATTTCCAAGGTACAAATATTCACACTGAAAATGTAACAGCTGTGCATGTACCTCTTATAGAAAGAATTGGAACCAAAGGGGATGCTCATCAAGTAGATATTGATGAACAAATTGAGGTTTATGACTGTATTATTATAGTCTAAGAAATTATAAAAGGGGACAAATTCAAAGAAACCTGTGGGAATATGAACGAACTAATGTAGACGTTAGTGAGAAGAAACAAGGGAATAATTCATGCAATCTATTGATTACAACATAAAGGAAAACAACTGTGAAAAAGTTAATAATTATGATTAAAGCAATGACCAATCAACTTCAGAAGTCTGATGATGAATTATGATTTCCACCTTTTGGCAGAAAGGTGATTTATTAACGGTGCAAAATGAGGCATACATTTTCAGACATCCCAAGTGTGTGGAAGGGAGGGATTTCTTTTTTGAGGGAAGGGAATTGAAGGGATAGATAGTGATAAGAAAGTGATAGTGAGTGGAAGATAGTGATATGACACTTTTAAAAAGGAATGAAGAAAAGAAAAATGGTAGCAATGAATCATTTTTTTAAAATTAACAGAAGAAAGCAATAAGTAATTTGGAGAAGGACAGGTAATCAGAGTATGATTAGAATGATCATGTTAGATTTGAAATATACCTCTCACTGCAAGGGAAAAACAAAACAAAAACAATATCTACATAATGGACATTAAAGACTTATATACAATCCTTTTTTCTGTTTTTCTTTTTTTAATGGATTAATGTTCATTTTGGCCAAATTCATAACAATATGTTCAGTTCTGGACACTACATTTTGGAAGGACATTGGTAAATTGGAGGATATATTCAGAGAAGGGCAACCAAGATGAAGAACCTCAGATTTTTGTGATATATAGAGACAATGGAGTTAATTATTTTTACATGAGAGTAGAGAATAGTAGAGGTTTTTAAAAAACTGTTACACTTTTCTAATAATTCAGCCAAATATAATGCCTAAGTAAATGTAGACTTTAGCTCAGATATGTATGGTATTTTTAAAAATTAAAAATATTTATTTAATTAAAGGTTAAATGTATTTAGATGTTAAATTTAATTAAAGATTAAAAGTAAACATTACACTAGATCAGTGAAAGAAAGTTGATATGTTTGGACAGTTATTCATTAAAACAGGGATACAAAAACATAACAGAAATGCTGACAAACAATACTAGGGATCTGAATCTTGTAATTCTAAAATTCATGCTAATTCTTTAGAATTTAGTTATTTTTTTTCTTAAAATCAATACACAATATTTCCTATTATAAGGCGTATGAAGAGATAGCAATATGGATTTGATAATAATAATCTTACATTTATTGCAAAACTCAAAGCACTTTCTTCACAATGGACTTGTGAGGTAAATAATCTTTTGAGATAGGTGCATTTGTTGAATTACATATGTAGGGATCAATCTTGAGCTACAGTCACAAAAGATTGAATAGCACTAAGAGAACATAGTATATTCCTAGTCCAGTAATTATAGGATCCAGGAAATCAAAGTTTATCAAATAGTGTCAGGTTTTTTGTGAGTCAGTATTACACAATGCTAGAACTAGAATCAGATGACCTAGATTTGAATCCTAATACATCTATATATAATATCTTAATCTTAAAATTAGGTTAATAAATTTTTATTATTTCCCTCACATAATTGCTGTGAGGAAAAAATTTTGTAATCCTTAAAATGTTATTAAAATTTGAGTTGTTTTTATTGTGACTAAGGCATTTATTTTCAGCCTTTTCAGTGGACTATCCAGAGGGTACATAAATACAATTTCATTTTTCAAATGGACTGAAAATGCAATAATTCATTAGATTCAAATTAGAATTAATTTAAGGCAACTATACAGTTCAGTGGATAGAGTGTTGAATCTAAAGTTAGGAAGAGTGTCAGTTCAAATCGTGCCTCAGATAATTGCTTGCTGTGTGACCCTGAGCAGGTCACTTAGCCCCTTTTGCCTCAATTTCATTGTCTATAAAATGGGAATGATAATGGCAATCCTAGGGTTGTTGTGAGGATAAAACGAGATAGTTTAAAACAGCTTTACAAACTTTAAAGAGCTATTCCTCTAAGAGAAAAACAGCAGTTGTATTTCTTTTCCTAGGAATTAGCTGGAAAGGTACACACCCTATACTGACTTCATAATGATCTGCATGGAACTTTTATTCATGTCTTGAGTTTTGGTTTTGGCTTAACTTCCTATTTTCCAGGAAGCACCTTCCTTAGCTCTTGCTTCCACTAGTTTTATAAATGCCTTATTCAAGAACAATTAAGGAGGATTTTGTTTTAAAACAGTGATAAAGCCTCCATTCTGGGTCACTTTTCCTCCCTGTGGAAACTATCCCCAATGGATAAAATAAGTGCATCTGTGTCATTAAAATCCCTAAGAGTTTGAAAACTTTACCCCTGTCAAGGGACATTGTGTCAGTTACTTTTGGAAGCAGTGTACACAAACTGCCACAGTATATTCTAGATTGCATATTGATGGAACCCACTGAACTCACCAGTAATCAGAAATCTAGACTCTAGATTGACATAGAGCTATTAGAGATAATGATCTAGGCCTGCAGTGATTATTGCTAAAGATACTGCCTGTATATACTTGAAATTAGACTTACTGTTATTGCATTCCACTAGACTCGTGTAATTATTTTTGTACCTACTCATATTGCTTATTTTATCCGATTAAAACCATATGCAGTACACATAAAAATTGATTTAAATACTACTTACCACTATATTTAATGATACGAATGGTTGAATCTCCCTCACCAAACTTGGTAAGAGGAGTCAGACGGACTTCATAGGCCTCTGGTTTTATCAGCTCAGTCAGATTATAGGTAATGAGTTCTCCTTTTTGAATGTTTCCACTTATCTTAATCTCCTGCTCCCACCAACGTTGCTGTCCAGCCTGATATCAAAAGAAATGATATAATGACAAAAGTTCCTTCTACTGTAATATTTTATTAAAATAGAAGAAAATAGATCACAGCAACAGGAAGTAAGATTTATTTTATCATAGTAGACAATATGCTACATGTATATCATATGAAAATTAATTTACTTTTTACAAGTAAATTGCAAAGTATCTTGAAGATATTTTGATGGCTAATTAATAGTATGAGAAATAAAAAGCCTTCAAAATTGATTCATGCTTTACTGTTTAACATCAATATTTTCTACCAAAAGATCCAGAGCAATGAATATGTACAATGAATTAGGACTATTGCCAAGACTTTGCTTCATATTCTTTTAACTTCTCAACCTGAATAACCTATAGTGATTGGGAATAAGATATACTAGGCACACTCAGTAAGGCAGTAGTTCTAGATGGTGCTGAAACACCAAAAGTTTATAAATAACCCTATAATTAATCCTTTATCCTTATTAAGACAAAGAAATAGAACTTAGTTTCCTAGCTTTCATAACCACCTCTCAAGGTTTTGCCTTTTTGTGATTTGCTTTTTTCTATTGATTGTTGTTTACACAAGTTTTTGACAGTAGACAATTTTGTCTGGGGGCAGGAACTGGAGAAGGACAGGAAGGGAATGTAAATTATTATGATTTTCCCTTGTTCTTTCATCCTCTTTGGAAAGATTTTGAGATCAGTCCTAACTAGGAGAATCTTTATTCTCCTGCTTCTACACTACACCTTTACAAATGATACTGAAAATATTTGGCTGGAGGGAAAAGGATGAAGAAGGTACTATAATAAAAAGGATGAAATAAGGTGAAAATGAAGTGAAATAAGCAGAACAAAAGTTGTATGTTCAATCTTCTACATACAGCAGACTTTCTATACAATCCATCTCCAGCCTCCAAGAATCAAATCACCATAATAATGATGTGCTACCATGTGTTTCTCAGGCCACAAGATTTTCTGAGCTGAGTGTTCAAAGATTTCCAAGACCAAATGGGAAACTATGTCAATCAGAAGTCCTTAACTAAGAAATATGTTCCTGATCCATATTCAGGCATTGTGGAGGCAAGAAAAGAGGAAAGTCTTATAACTCATAATAGTTTCAGGGACTCTAAAACTGAACAACTTAATTTTAGAAACTGTCCTCAATTTCTTTTTTTTTTAAGGCAATTGGGGCCAAGTGACTTGCCCAGGGTCACACAGCTAGTGTCAAGTATTTGGTCTGAAGCCAGATTTGAACTGAGGTCCTCCTGACTTCAGGGCTGGTGCTCTATCCACTATGCCACCTAGCTGCCCCTATCTGTCCTCAATTTCACCCAAAATAAGAAGGCATATACTCTGATTTTTCTTTAGATCACTTCCACTCTTACCCTTGCTAGTATGTTAGAGCCTTTGTTATAGACTAGACAATGAAAAAAATTCACAGTGAGGCTGAAATGAAAGACAGATTTATAATTCCATACTTCCTTCTATGTCATATGAATTTAACAAATTTAGTTAAGCAAAGGCATAATCTCATATGTTCCCTATAGAAACAAACCTATTTAATGGACTTTATCAGTAAATCAGGTTACAGATTAGGTTATAGTTAGAGGATTCACAATAGGCTGATTGAGGGAGAAGATTTACATATCACCAAGATAACCAAGAAAAATGACTTCAGGGAAATCCTTGCTTAATACAGTTAACTAGGAGAGCTGACAACTAAATCACTTTAGGGAGTTCAAACTCCCCTTTTATCAGAGTAATGTCAAACAATCTTACCCTAGGAGTCAGGTTTGGTCAGGTAGAGTTGATATTAATAGAAGACAGATTTTTAGGTAACCCGAAGTTACAGAAGGAGATCCAAATAATACAATTTAATGAAAGGATATAAAAAATTCCTTAACAGTCCCCAGTTTTAGTACTAGAGAAGTCTGCAATTCCTCTCTTTGATCACACACTTATAAATGGGTGTGTGTTCATTACTCTTTGGGTGCACATAGCTTCAGGCAGATATAAACACCAGGAAATATTAAAGCAAGAGTAATACAGTAATCACCCTTCACATGAATTAGCATAAATTGCCCTTTATGTAGCTCATTACTTGTTCCAAGTGCCATTCAATCAGCATGTTTCATCTTGTGTTTTAGGTGTCCCATGTAGCTATCTGATCCTTGGAAATATTTTTTCCTTGAAAATTCTAGAATAGCCCTCATTCCCAGTTCAGTTCTGGAGAGGCATTCTTCCTAGCACATCAATTTCCCTGGTTGGTTCCAAATTACTTTCAGAGATTCCTTAGATAAGACTGCTAAAATCTGCTAGAGAATACAATTTAGTAAGGCCTCTTAAATCCAGTCTTCCAGTAACTAATTCATGTGGTCAAAACCACTTCAAATAGTATGGAGCTAATTTTATTAACAACAGAACTATAAGAACAATAGCTTAGAAACCAATAATTGCCCCTGAAAGTTCAGATAATTTTAGTTTTTTGTATACTAATTGCTCTTTTTATTACCTGATATATGCAATGTGATTTACATACTGAAGGAAGAATCTTAAAATGTATCTATGATGGCATGACTTGCAAAATGAGCCTTTATGTCTCTTAATAATATAATATAGAAACTTCAAAATAGGAAAAAATAAACATGTTTTAAAATTTTCCAATTATTAATGCAATTTTATATGTAAAATATAAGAAGAGAATTTATTACTAAAATATAATCAAAGCTTGTAGACGTTCCCTCCCCCAAAAAGGAAGGAAAAATTTAAAAAATTATCTGTTTGTATTCTATTGAACCTAAAAGATGTTTAGTCCTTTGTTTTACTTTTTCAATCTAGTTCTTAATTACCTTCACGATCAAAAATAAAAAAATATAAAAAATAATCATCCAAGAATATTGGCCTTAATATTGGGATCTTAATAATATCTTAATATTGGGAAGTCAATCATATGAATACACCTATGCATTATATATACATGTATATGTATATGTATATGTATATGTATATGTATATGTATATGTATATGTATATGTATATGTATATGTATATGTATATGTATATGTATGTGTGTATGTATATGTGTGTGTATATACAGATATGGGCACACACATATATTCCTAGTTGTCAGAGAAAAGAATCTAATCTTATTGCTTTTTTCAAAGTAAAGTTTATTGTTGAATTAAAGTTAAAAGCTTTTACATAATATTTGAAATGTAAAACTTTTACATCTTTATTACATCATATCTTTGTCCTTAAACCCCTTTGAGGAAACACACCCACACAGATAGATAGGTAGATAGGTAAACAGATAGGTAGAAAAGAAGCAATACTGTGCAGACCTAATCCTACCCATGAATGCATACTCATTAACAAGTGGATAGATGTCAAGCCTAGACATTTATTTACCTAATTAATTAGATTATGCAGTTAAAACAATAATTGACCACAAACTCAGAATAGTAAAACTCAAAACATCAAAGTCTTTCATATTTGTATCCTCAATCATTTTCAATGCCAATTAACATAAAGTCTGCTTTATCTAGCTTGTTACTGGTAATCCATTCCAAGTGCCATTTAATCAGCTTGTTTCATCTTGGGATTTAGTTGTGCCATATAGCTGTCTTATCCCTGGAAATATTTTCCTTGACAATTCTATGATTGGCCTCATTCCCAGGGCAGTTCTGGAGAGGCATTCTTCCTAGCACATCAATTTCCCTAGTTGGTTCACATTACTTTCAGAGATTCCTTAGATAAGACTGCTAAAATCTACTAGAGAATATACTAGAGTTGTTTAAGTAGTGTAACAAAAAGATTCAACATGTATAAAAATACATCTGTCCTGATTATAGAATTTTACTATGAAAGGAAGGAATAAAATACATGGTCATAACAATATAGAGACTGTCCCTTTAAGGGAACAGACCATAATTATAACACAAGAAAGCTTTATTACTTCTGTTAGATTCCAGGTAAGACTTATACTTGACTCTTTGGAACAGTCAATCATGGGGTGGGGGGGGGAAGTCCACATTATTCACAGGGTATCATAGCCAGGCTCAGGATTAACCAGGTGGAAAAATTTCTTGTTCAGAAAAGAAATCACACAATGGGGAAACTGATTCAAGAGGATCCTTCCATTATATTTCAAAGTCTTCCTCTCAACCTTCCCAGGCACAAACATCCACCTGTAGCAATTCTCAGATTGTACTTTTTTTTTGAGAATTTTGAGAATTTTGTCATTTCCTTTGAATAGTGGATTATTTATGTAATAATTCTGATGATCATACCTGAAATTAAAACTCAGAATAATATCAAAATACAGTCCCAAGAGATTTTAACCTCAAATAGTAAGTTTAACTAATCACAGACCAGGGCTAAGTACAGTTATTATTTTTTTTCCTCATTTTGCTGCAGTAACAGTCAACAATAAGCATATATAAAGTCTTATGTTATTCATTCTTTCTAGTTTAAATCCATCCTACAGTAGAAATCAGTCATTAGAAATTTAAAAAATAGCCACATTTTATAATTACAGAATACAGTGAGTACATGATAGTTCCCTCAAAATACAGTTAAATATTGGCCACTTTTTAAGCTTTTATTCTGACAGATATCTGTCTCTGAAGGGATTGCATATTAAACATTCAAGTAGAAATAAATTTTAAATATGGTGTGTGTTGAGATTAAGTTGGTTTAAAGGTATAACTTCAATATACACCACATTCTTAAAAAGCTCAATTTATAATATGACATTGTCCAGATGAAAAGAGGAGTTAATTTTCTAAAAATACAATTATATAACTATCTAGGTATCAATTTTTAGATTCAAATAATTTCTTAAATCATGATTTCCCAAAAATTGCAATATAAGAAAAATTAGAAGTGTAACAATAACATAAACAGCATTATAGATTTTTAAAAACATGAAACAAAATTTATTGCTAGTTAAATAACATCAATTTGGTTGAATACATTTCTGAACCATCTTATACACAAAATCAACT